ATTTTTAACAAAACTTCTGATCCCTATTTAGCTCCATACTTGTGGAAATACAATAAGGTGGAATTGCAGTTCCACTTTATATAGACCCAAACTGAAAGATTTAAATGTGAAAAAGTATTGAAAAGCATCATTTGTGTACTTTAAATGTAAAAAAATAACCAGAAATGACACTGATTTTCATTTTGCTAATTTGTAGCAATAAACTGTGAGATGTGTACACAAGGAGAAATATATAAAAGGTTTATTTACAAATCTGATGAGATCAAGAGAGGAACCCAACAGAACAGAGAGGTTCTAGTTCAGGGTCTTACTAACAGGACCAACGGTTGACAAGATTATAATGTTAACTTTTCCTTTTTCATTTACTGGTTTCTGGGAAGAGGAAGAGCAATTCAGAAGTCCAGGGGATGATGGCCGAGGTTTGGTGGAGCGTGGGTCAGGTGGACGGTGATGCAGGAGAACTGGTTTCTCTTAAGATTTGAAACAGAAACAGGAATCAGGGAAACCAAGCAAGAACTAAACCATCTGTTCTTAGGGATTGGGATGAAATATAAAAAATATATAAACAACAACTAATCAGCAGGAGATGGAGGATTGGTCCCAGTCAGTTTCACAAACAAACAGGAAGAACAGAGCTTTCCACTGATCATCCTCTACCTTCAGTTTGTTCTTCATGCTGCTCAAAAGAGAGAAACCCGTGAGGGATCACCTGCTTCTGGTCCAGTCCAGCTCTGAGCAGAYTTCAAACAGCAGACTGACTGATGACTGATTAGACAGCTGGAGGAAGTGAGGAGGGAACACTGGAACACTGGAACACTCAGAGAGGCCTCGTGTCAAGAAACGTCCTCTCAGATGTTCCCAATGTCAGCRAGRACCATGAACTCCTCTGTGGACCAAAGGATTCTGGGACCAGACTGTGCCATGATGCAGCTGATCTACAAAAGAACGGGCCAAAAAGAACAAATGTCCAGAGTCCAGAACCTAAACCTGAACCTCACCCTGTCGTGGGACCTTCAGAGGGCTAAGCAATAACAACCTGAAGCAACATTCTGTTTTTGTAGACTTTAACTTAGACCGGAAAACTTTAAGATAGTTTAAAAATAAGATTTATTTTATAAACATCTAGAACTGAACCAAATGATTTTTTTCTCACAGATAGTGTCCAAGCAGSTTTATTCAAAGCATTTCTTTAAAAACATTCATGAAAAATGTGTCACACATTAGACACGCTCAGGTTTCACAACTTCCCTGAAACCAAGTGTTTACTGACACTTCGTATCTTCGTCAGGTTGAGTCCGTAAACCAGAGGGTTGAAGAGTGGCTGACACGTGAGGTAATATAACGATAAAATAACTCGCAAAACGCTGGGAACATGACTCATGTCAAACCTGCTCTGAAATATGTCAAAGAAAAAACCAAAGGAAAAGTTAATGACTGAGACCAGGTGAGGAGTGCAGGTACTGATGGCTTTCTGCCGGGTCTGTTTGGACCCAGAAAAACACACTATAAGGATTTTAATGTAGGTGTAAAGAATCAAAACAATCATTCCCAAGATGACTGTCAACATATAGGCGATCCCAAAGTATTTGCTGGTTGAGACGTACGAGCAGGAGAGCTTCACGATGGAGAAGCTGTCACAGTAAACTTTATCGATGAGGTTTCCACACAGCTGCGTGTAAACATTGGAAAAGATCCCAAGAACAGATTCAACAAGCGGGAACAACCAGGACAGAGCAATGAGCTTTACGATCTTTGAAGGCGACATCAGTGAGTGGTACTGCAGGGGGTGACAGATGGCCAGGTACCTGTCGTAAGACATGACCACCAACGTACAGAACTCAATGTGAGCGTAGGTGTAAACACAGTAAATCTGCAGGAAACAGAACGGAGCAGAAACAGTGTGAACGTCTGACAGAACCTGAGTCAGCAGCAGTGGAAACAAGCCTGTACTACCATACAGTTCATTYACAAACAGGCTGCACAGAAACATGTACATAGGTTCATGTAAACTCCTGTTCATGCAGATAACMACGACCAGCAGGACATTACAAGCAATGATCAGAACATACAGAGTCAGAATAACAAGAAAATACAAATAATTCACAACACCTGAGTCAAAGTAGGCAGTGAGAGTGAAAAATACAAACTCAGTGGAGTTTACCATCATCCTCTGTTAATTTAACATCTGTAGTTTTTCACATCTTAGTCTGAAACAAGAAGAGAATTCAGTTCGTTCAAAGGTTCAAAACAATTCAGCGTTACAGTGATGTTTGATGTAAACAGRTGCAGTGAGACAAACTGATGAGCAGACTGAAGCCAGATGAACTTATAGCTGCAGAAAAAAAAAAAAAACAGCCACGTGTTTCCCAAACAAACAGGAAGAACATTCAGCTTGTACTTCCTGCTTCTACGAAACCTAATAGGAACTTTAATTTACTTTGTATGTTAAATTATATATGTAAATCTTAAATGTTTTAACTTTTTTTTTTTGCATTTTGTTTCCCACTCATGAAAATGAGTTTGTCTTTGTCACAGCTTAGGTTTTTACAAAACTAAATGCAAAGTTCCTATTAAGCTTTATAGAACAATGATTGATGAATTTTAGKGTTTCAGACAGAAGCAGGAAGTACAAAGTGAATATTCTGTTTGACCATTCCTTCATCTCCTGATTTGTTGCTGTTTTTTATGTCCTGCAGCTTTATTTTTAATGCAGCCCATATTAATGAACTTTATTTAAAAATATTTAAACTCTTCCCACAGAGTCACTACTTTACAGGGATAGTTTAAAGTTATGTTTTGTGTAATTATTATCAGTAGTCAGTATTTCATCATCAGTTACAGAATTTGGGAAAATCAGCTAAAGTTTGTATCCATGCTAATCTAAAGACCAACAGTTTTTCATTGAATACTTGTTACCAGGTCAGTTGAGAATGAGGTTTGTAATTACTTCAAGTCTCTCTTCAAAGGAGAGTTTTGATGTCCTGTGGAGGCCAGGGACCAGTTCAAGGCCTCCGCTGCAGAAGTGGCCTCCAGGAGAAAGTGTACATCTACACTGTAAAAACTGTCCACCTAACCAAGTTTTAAACCTTATATCAGCCAAAAACTGTAAAAACTGTCCACCTAACCAAGTTTTAAACCTTATATCAGCCAAAAAGTCTTTTTGATCTTGTTTTCAGACTGATTTACTAA